TCCGTTATGACTGGGGGTCCGGCATGTCTGGGGGTCCGATATGACTGGGGGACCGGTATAGCTGGGGGACCGGTATGTTTGGGGGTCCGGTATGATTGGGGGTCCGATATGGAATGGGGGTCCAGTATATCTGGGTTTTCGATATGGCTGGGGGGCCGTTATGCCTGGGGGTCAGATATAGCTGGAAGTCCGATTATGGCTGGGGTTCCAACTAAGGGTTTCATATACCTAGTGGTCTGATATATCTAGGTGTCCGATATAGCTAGACTAACCAGTAAAGATAAGATCATGGTCTGGTTGGCGGTGTAGACTAAACAGCTCTCGACATCTGATGAATTGAATTGATTTATCTATTCATATATTCATTTACTTATCAATTCTTTTATTCATTTAGTTATCAATTCTTTTATTCATTTTAGTTATAATTCTTTTATTCATTTAGTTATCAATTCTTTTATTCATTTAGTTATCAATTAATTTATCAATTTAGTTATCGGTTCTTTATTAGTTATCAACACTTTTTATTATTTATTTTATTCATTTAGTTATCAACTTATTTTTATTTATTCATTTTATGCAATTCTTTTATTCATTTGCTTATCAATTTTTTATTCATTTGCTTTCAATTCTTTTATTCATTTGCTTTATCATTCTTTTATTCATTTGCTTTCAATTCATTTAATTATCATCAACACCACCACCACCACCATCATTCACAACCTCATCCTCATCACCACCGCAATCATCACCATCAACAACACCCTCATTCACAACCTCATCATCATCACCCTCATTCACAAAAAAACAAACCCACTCAACATTCCTGCAACAGAGCCCACCATTACCTATCAACACCATGCACCGCCAGACAAAACCTGTAACTCAACAATGCCTCAAAATCCCGGTGTTCTAATAGGCACTGTGATGTCTCGCGAGTGCCAGCGATTTCTAAAAGTAGCATCGGCTCCTGGTGCGCTGGCCAAGCAATTGCTGGCTCTGGAGGGAACTTTACAATGAGACCATTCGATTGATGTTTACCTTGTTATCTTTCGTTTATGGTTGGATATGTATGTATGTATACATATATATATTATATATATATATATACATATATATATATTATATATATAGCTATATACAGTATATACATATATACTATATATATAGTATAGTATATATATCTATATAAATATAATATAGTAGTATATATTAATATGTATCTATATATATATATATATTTATATACTACATATATTATATATATACATGTATTATATGTCTATTATATAGTATATATATATATATCATATAGTATATGTTAATATATACAATATTTATATATATATACTATAATCCAAATTTTTGCATGTGATACCAGGTATATATATAGATATACATAATACATATACATATAGATTTATAGATGATATATGATTAGATATGCTGATGTAGATATATATGTATATATGACATAAGCATATATAATACATACATATATTTGTGTATATATATATACTATATATATATATATATATATATATATATTATATATATAGTATATATATGCATATATATAGTATATAAATATATATATGGTATATATAATATATATTATTATTATATATATATAAATATATATCCATATTATATTTCGTGTCTGGAAGGGGCTATATCATATGTGTGCTTGTGTGTGTACATATTTATGATACACATATATATGTATGAATGATATATATATATATATTATATATATATATATTCTATATTATTACTATATATATATTTATTATATATATATTATATATATATATATATATAATACTATATATATATATATTATATATATAATATTATTACACACACACACACCACACACACACACACACCACAACACACACCACACGCACAAACCACAATGCACACCACACAACCACTACAACACACACACACACCACATCACACACACCACACTATATACTATATAATCTATATATATATATATATATATATATATAATATATTT